CCTTTTAAAAATCGTTTCAACGCGTGTTTTCGAGCCTTTGACGGAGAAGAGATTAGGACTGGATGATGATCGATGGGAGTGCAAATAAAATCAGTGACACCGTGACAGTTCTAGGAAGATAATATTTGCCTCGGTCGGAATCAGCGGTCGAGACGCCGGCCAGACAAGATAATGATAGATCAATCTAATTCGCCTGCTCCCAGACGCGCGTCACGAACGAGCTCGCGCGAATCCTCTTGATAATCTGGCCTCTCTCCCACCCTCCTGGCTCCATCCTCGTTCCTTCGAGAAGGTGGCCACGAACGCGATCATGACCAACGACAAATAACAACGCCGTTTGTTCTATCGGTTCGGCCAGAGACGTTCTCGTCCCAATCAGCGCGAAAGGTCGCCGATAGTCGAACCGTGAACGTCGATCGTAAACACAGGAAGCGCAAGCACGACGATCCCATCGCGATCAGGGTGATATCGAACGGTCCTCTTCGACGCGACGACCGCGTCACGGTAAAACGGAGTCGCGTTGTGCCCGACTTCTGATAAGGCAGAAATTGCTTCCCTGCTGTGGATAAAGCAGATCGAGCTACCTTGCGCTGGACATATTTATAGACTCGCGATGAATCGGAAAATTTCGATGTTCTCTTTTATAAATAATGAAAAGAGACGCGAGTCCAACGAGTTCGAGTCGTGTACGTAGGTTCACGGCGACGGTCGATAGAATAGAGTCGGATGTCGACATTTTCGAAGCACGATAACGCGACGTACTTGGTAATTTATCGATGCCGTATTTTCGAAGTAATCGTGGCGTAGAAAGATGGGTATAAGAATATATCGGGTTTCGAATTCATTTATTTCGCAGATTTCGCGATTCGCGGTCGGTAACATCGTGTAACGCGGTGGTAGGTAAAGTCGCACGCGAGGGATATTTTTATCGACGCGGCGGCCACCACCACCGCCACCGCCACCGGACAAAAGGATAAACTAGAAGGAAAGAAGCGTCGTACGGTGCTGGGAGGCAGCGAGTGCTTAACCGTGGAACCGGTAGCCACCCATGAAGGCGGTTCCCTTTCTCTCTGGTCCCGTCCGTTTAACGTGGACTCATTCTCCTTTTGTCGATCTTTCTTTTCCTCAAGGTTGCCGGCGTCGGTGCCACGTAAAGAAAGAGCGGAGAGACAGCGAGAGTGCGGTAGCAATAGGAAGGCGACGCAGGAGGGAGCAAGAAAGGATAAGAGAGAGAGAGAGAGAAAGATAGGGCGGCCTTTTGCACCTCGACGACGCGGGTGAGCTTGTTAACCTGACGTCTCAATTTAAGCGGTCTCCGGCACGCAGGCAGGTTCGGCGCTAGCTCGGTGAATCGATGCGAGCCAGAAGAAACGGACCGCAAAACGGATCGGGAGGGACGAGAAAGAAATAAACTGTTTGCTTTAACCGGCGCGATGCGTGCCGGGAGCGTGGAAATTTCACTTATACGATTGCAGAAGTTTCCCGGTTATTTGCCTCCCGGCCAGTGCATACGAAAAGAAAAGAGGGAAAATTACGTCGAAAGAATAGAGAGAGTAAGATAAGGGAGACCGTAGCAAGGATTTTGGGAAAGATTACGATGGTTGAGGAAGATCCTAGAGAAAGTAAGAGAAGAGGATGGGAGCCTTGGCTCATAATAGGAGAAGAGACCGGCGCCTCTCGCAGCATCACCACGTGGCATGCGGCCAACTACCGTCTTCTGATCAATATGCTTAAAGCTACCTCGCTTCTCTTTCTATCTTTCCTTCCGTCTTTCTTTCCGGCTGCTCTTCTACCACCGACTGTCGCTAGAACCGCAGAAATTACCAGGCGCTTTCGATACGACCACGTTGCGATTGTTCTCGCGCAAACGGCGAAAAAATGCTCTGCCTGCTAGGGCCCGGCTCGACCAAAGGTCCTCGCCTGGGCTCGTCGAAATGTCAAAGATCGAACGATCGAATCGCGTGAACGATCGTCTGGCACGGACACGATACACGCGAAAACTCATCTTGGATGCAATGACGAAACGGGAATCGTGTGTTGCAGGAAAGCGGAAGCGTCGCGGTACCACGCGTGAGCCACGTGGTGCCACTTGGGAGAGACACGAGACTCTTTCTCCTTCGTCTCGTTCCTCTTTCCCCCGGGACGCACCGTGAACGGAAGGAAGGAAAATTATTCTCCCTCTCTCTCTCTCTCTCTCTCTCTCTCTCTCTCTCTCTCTCTCTCTCTGTTTCTATTTCCCGGATCGTCATCCGGCCCTGGAACGCTTGCGCGCTCGCGTGCACCGTCACGTTGCACTTTTTTGTCAAGGTGATAGTCCTCGGCGAATAGGTGTGCACGCGTATCGAGGGATACCGATAGGAAGAAGAAATTGAAGAGGAACGCCGTGGATAGAATATATGCCTATCCACGTGGACGAGGAAACCCGCGGCGCGCCTTCAAATGCAATATGTACAGGGTGTTTCTAGAATGCTCGCGTAACCCGTTACAACCGTGTTCTATCAATCGTGTAAATTTCAATTTACGAGTGGCACATTTCTAGCTAGAGTTTCTAAGCATCAACGTCTTTAATTTAACTCTTTGCGCTCCACTGGCGCCGCTATGGCGACAAACGTAATACGTGCCATAGATTAAAGTTTCATTTATGATAAGAAAAATTTAATTTAGGAAATATACGAATAAAATTTATATTACAGGTATTTATACATTTTTCTGTAAAAAACGATATTCTTTTATTTTTAGTCACGTCACAAAATTGCATTTGGTATTGCTACTTGTTCGTATTCTTTCATTATTTATAATATCCCAACCTATGTACTCAACAGTATACTATTCATAGCATTGTTTTAAACATATTTAATAAATATTCCCCAATAGAACTGATTATAAATTTAGTGGCGTAATAATAATAAAAAACTTGTTCCTATTAATAAAATCTCTCCGAATGCTAAGAGATAAAAGAACTTATTCGCGAATATTGCAACTGTAGTTTAAAAAATTTGTATAGAAAGTTAATGCCAATGAAAAACTCCACCAAATTGCTGTTTTATATTTGTGTAAATTTAGTGGCGTATAATAAAAAAAAATTATTTGTATTAATAAGGTCTCTCGGAATGCAAAGGGTTAACTTATTTACGAGTACTGCAACTGTAACTGTTTAGATTTAAAAAATTTGTATAGAAAGTTAATGCCAATGAAAAGTCTCACCAAATTGCTGTTTTACATTTTTGATAAAAAGTAACGGATACCCAGACGCATTTTAATTTTTAATTTTGATATTTGCAGCAACGGATCGTAACGATTTGGAGAGGTGATTGGATAATTGTTTTACGATTGTTCTTTCGTTAAAGGTTTTCGGAGCACCCTGTACAGGGGACCACCTATATAAAGTTATCGGGGAGTTTAGCCGGTCGTTGCAGTACGTATATCGTGGGTGGGTGGATGGTGTTTCGTTGGTCGGTGGTGGTGTTCGTGTGGTGGTGGCAGCGAGTGGTGGTGCTACTGCTGCTGCTGCTGCTGCTGCTGCTGGCGGTGATGGTACGGCGGTGGTGGTATCGGTATTGGTAGTGGTGGTGGATGCCCCTCAGTGTCCGGCGCGCCTCCGACAAGCGTGCTTCGGTCGTTATAGGGATCCCTTGGCGTTTCGTCGTTATCGTGGATGATATCGGTGAGACGAGCTAGACAAAAAGGAGGAAGGGAACACTGGGGATCGAGAGTACAAGGAACGGGTAAAAAACTAGAAACCGTCGGTCGCGTAGTTCGTCGACGTGGCCCGGTGGATTCGCGAAAAACGCATCGGTTTGCTCGGTTGGATCGGATAGATCGAAGAAAGGATGCATGCGGGATCGACGTCCCCGAGGAGGCTCGTGCACACCAGGAACACGCGCTCTTTCGGATCACAATTTGTTTTTTACGGACAACAAACCAAGTAGGAGTAAACTGTCGGTAGAGACCGACGAACTGATAGGAAAAACGTTTTTCCTATCCGCCGAAAGGGGATCCTCCTAAGGAACTCTGTGCCGGGTCGGATGCCCATCGTTACGTGTCCGGTCACGGCAGACTTTTAAATGGTGCATCATTCCGAAGATCTTAGTCGTAGTGAAACATTAGGTACGCGTAGAAAGTGTCCAAGGAAGTCGAGGAGACCTTAGTCGTCGATTGTCGAAATTGATCGCGGAAGAGTGGAAGAAAGAGCCGTACGGAGATCGCTGGAGAGGAATTAAGGTCGACAACCTGGTTCTCCGTCGTTAAAGTCGCTTCAAGGACGATCCAAGGAAATCCGTACGCGATCGCTTCGGACGTGACGAGGAACGAGAAGGAAGATACGAGGGTGACGATTCGGTGAAACGGTGCAAACGGTGGCAAGAGAAGCGGACGCGGATCCATCAGGAAAAAGAAAGGGAAGAAGATAGAATAAAGTAATAGTTTGGCAGTGTAAGGGCCACATACCTGTGGACGTGCAAGCAGTGAAAAGGATCGCGAATGGCCGAAAACACGAGCAGGGTGTACCCGGTTGTTACGGCGGTCCATCTTGCGGGTGAGATCGATCCTGAAACAGCGGCACCGGGTAGTTGGTAATGGGGGGTTTTGGCGAGAATGCCTTTTCCCTGTCGTCGTGCTCGTCATCGCCGTTGTCATCGCCGCTCTACGAGATTCTCGCCCTTTCAACAGGTTCCGCTCGTCGCCGTCGTCGACGTCGTAGCCGTTTGTCGCCGTGCCGCAGGTCAGAGGCAAGGACACCTTGCACGGACGCTCAGCAGGTTGACTTCGTACGAAATAGTATCGCGCTCGCAACGGTCGGTCTTTTCTTTAACCCGAACGGTACCGGTAGAGTTAGTAGAAACGAGCGCGATCGAGTCGGTGGTTGTTGCCGATCGAGAAAAACGGAGGATAGGCTCGTTAAGGCGGAAGATCGTAAAGGAGGAAGGAGTAGCAGTAGTGGTAGTAGTAGTAGAGGAAGGAGGAGGTGGTGGTGGGGGAGGAGGAGGTGACTCGCCGCCGAGATGCACCAGGTGCCGTACAGAGCGGGACTCACCTCAAACGCAGGTCGAAACGAGAGGCTCTGGGAAAAGACTGCAACCTGTCGAGCGTCGCCGCTCGATCCTCCTCCGATCGATACGAGTCAATCGTGTCGAGATCAACGATCTCACCTGGCCTCCTCCTTTCGCATCGTCTACAGGTGCAGAGGAACGTCGTTGGTACCGTCGAATGTGCTCCTGATAGGATTGGCGCTTTGTTGTTTGACGTTCTCGCCGGTTCAACCGCGTCAGAACCATCATCAGACTTGCCCGGGTTGCCCGCATCAGCAGCAACAGCATCAGCACATCCACGAGACGCATCGGGGCGGTGGTTCGAAGGACACCGCCGCGCCCACTCCGGACGATCTCAGGCTGGAGGCCATCAAGCATCAAATACTCACCAAACTCGGCCTCAGGACGCGACCAGACGTTAACAGAACCCTGGCTACGGTACCCAGGCACCTGGCCCTCGAGACTCTTTACAGAGCCGAGGCGCAGTCCACTCAGTATCCCGAAAGATCGAGGAACGACCACGAGACCGAATACTCAGGGGAATTTCTCTACGGCGGCGACGAGTATTCCTACAGGAACCTCGACCAACAGCCCGAGACCGCCACCGAAGACAACGAGAGGCTCGATTACGGGAACCACGAGGGCCAGGAAGCGCACGAGGAGATGGACGACTTCTACGCGAGGACCTCCGAGATCATCACCTTTGCCGAGCCCGGTGAGTCTCTTATTTACATTTCAACGATAACGCGCCCTGAACAACGCTAGAAACTAAATTGTAAAACGAGGAACAGCTCAGAGTGTACGGGACCACGTTGTGCGAATCACGTGCAATAACATAGGGATGAACGAACTGCTCGAACGTTGGGAGTGTAAACGAACTTTTCGTGCGTAGGTGGGAACGACGAGTGTTTGGATCGCAGCGACTGTTTGTATTAGGAATTCCTTTTTCCGGCTAAACACATGTTTCGATAGTCGTAATGATATTTTCTTTTAATCAGTTTTCTATTATTCGAACCGTTTTCCTATTAATGACGATGTAAAAAATCGTGTCACGCGAACGAATCGGTGGTCGTGCGTCCCTGTTTTCGGTGCGTAAACGTGTGTCAATCAACGTCTCGTTCCCCGTGGCTTTAACGATATTGAATGAGTTACTACTACGCTTGCGATAAAATCGCGTAGTATAATTGACCGTTAATGCCGGCGCCACGTCGCGTAATAGCCGCTAGACGTCCAGAGTTTTATTTTTATTTCACTGCTTCGTACCGATTGAAACGGAAATAAAAATTGGCCGACTACGCGTGGTGGCTGGCGGAGCGGTTATCGATTCGAGTATCGACGAGCGGTGCGGAGCAGAAATTTCATCGTTCCCGGCGTTGGTAAAAGTTTTTACCGGGACGAAATTCGATCGATGGAAAGGAGCTTCGAGGGAAAGGCGTGGTTGTTGGCGCGTTGCAAAATTGAAATCTACTCGATTAATATACCAACCCCGGATATTCGTCGGGGCGAGTAACTTCCACTGTGGCGAATTAGACTAGGAGGATCGACGAAAACTTTTTTCACCCCCTCTCGAGAAAACTTTTTCGAGAGTTAGGGTTCGCGTTCGTCGTCCCGGCTTTGACGCGTACGAAACGTTTGACGGTAAATAACGGAACGGATTTCGAACGATCTCCGGGAAGGGTAACGGTTGCTGAAACGCGCGAAAAAGTTTTCGTAAACAAGGGTCCATGAAAACAGAGGGGCCGTGAACGTGCACGCGTTTATCGATACTTAGGCTCTCCAAGTGGCAAGACGAGTGCACGCCCCGGGTCTCTGGTATAGAATGGTCGATCGCGTCGGTCGTTAGCGGTCTAATACAATAAGTACCGTGTACGATCCAATTTTCGTCTAACCCTGTTAGTACGTTGCACACAAAGACCCGTACTTCGATAAGAAATTAATAAAATGGGTGGTAATGGTATATACGATACGAGATATGATTTCTTATCCAAAAAAAAAGAAACATAGAATTTTTACGATCGGTTGTGTAGTTTGCGGGATAAATGACTTCAAACGTAAAACTCTGAAACTGCGGATTTAATTGAGCATAAATAAAGTTACCACAATCAATTAATAGCGTGACCTTAACATACGTTTTTAAACGTACGATATTATGAGGTGCACGTTTTACGAGCTATGCTACGCGGAAAATGTATGCTACATTGTCATAAATAGACAATCATTGTACAAATTCATATTTTTATTAAATATGAAGTTTTGGATGTCAAGTGTCACAAACACGAGGCTACTTACTCGTTATCGAGTTTTGTATATTAATAGTAGAACGACCGACCCTTATAGTGTATTTATTTGTATTGAAGAAATTAAAACTAGATACACTTGAAGAAACGTACAATGCAATGAAAATAAATGTTTATTCAATCTCTTCTAGAAAAAGTAATTTTTTACAATTTTTTATTAAAAATTAAGAATGAGTCATTTTTACCACTTCGGTAGTTCTAGTATTAAAATCAACATATTTTTACATTCACGAGTTATTCGTAAAACTAATTCTTTTTCGTGGCCATTCCTCGTACGAATAAACAAAATTAAATAGTGTTGGAAAAAATATTTGAAATTGAATCGTACGTCAAGGGATCAATAGAATTAATGAAATGGGAACTTTATAGAGGGTTGTCTCAGCCCTTAACACTTAACGGACGAGTCACGTAAATTTACGTTTTTCCATTCCAACTTCCTAGGACGGGCCACGTAGATTTACGTCTCTTATTTCAATTTCTATTATGCTGCGTTAGTTTTTCATTTTTATTTATTTATAACGCAGCGTAATAAAAATTCAAACAGAAACGTAAATCTACGTAGCCCGTCGTAGGAAATCAGAATGGAAAAACATAAATTTACATGACTCGTCCATTAAATAAAATAATTCGTATCTTACTTTAAGTATTTCTTATATTTTTGCATATTAAGTGCATACTGTAATTTCTTGAGAATTAAAATTTTCCATAAATGCATAAACATCCACAGTCTAGTGATCACAGTTCTTGATCTTGATTGAATTATTTTTTATAAAATACTGTAATACATATAGCTTGCGTATAATATAAATTTTAAATTATGCCACGTTTTCTGTGCACAACGTACATTTATTTGATTTAATATTAAAAATAAAAAGCAATTCAATTCTCTTTCCCCTATCTTATATCGATATTTTGAAGGGTAAAATATTAATTCTTCTCGATGCCACATCGTAATATTAGGGTCGGTTACCCTAATATAGAATACTTTTTTTTCATATACATGTTTTACTTGCTCGCAGAACTTTTATAAAAACTTAAATATTATGAATTTATAGGTATGCTCTTTTGACGGGTAACAGCAGAATTTAAAATATAATAACGGTTTAGGAAATGTTTACTTTTTTTACTGAGATACTCATTTTCCATATTAGGCTCATAGTGCTCGTAATATGGAATACTATATTTATATATGTTTATATTTATTTGAAGAAATAATCGAGCTAAGACAAGGTTGATGCACTCATCTTATTATGTATAATATTTGGTCAAAGATCACCTTGCAAAAACTCAGACTGCGATATTTTTTTCAATATTCTTTTACGAACACGTGTTGCTTTGGAATTCGGGCATAGTTGCACGCTAGTTACAACAAATGACAATCGTAATCGATTTGTTTAATATTGCGGTGTATCAAATTAAGAACGCATTCCATATTAGGGCAACTGACTCGTTTAAATAATAGTGTAAAAGTGCGAACAGTTTCTGTTATGTTCATGCATGTATCTTATACTATGTATAAAATTTCGCAAAATTATATTACTCAATTAAAGTAAAGAGATATTTGTTTATATTTAAATAGATCAGGAACGATATTCGTTGAATATCTACAACTGGATTCTTTAAGAATCGCACTCTGGTCGTGAATTAATTTAAACGTGTCTCGTCGATTCTTTCAGTATATTTACAACGTATTCCATACGAGGGCAACTGACCCTACTCACTTAAATAATAGCTTAAAAGTAGGAACAATTTCTGTTATGTTTATGCATGTATATCATATTATGTATAAAATTTCAGAAAATGCCAGCACATTACTCTACCAAAGCGAAGAGATATTTGTTTATATTTAACTAGCAAACGTTTATATTCGTTCAATATCTACAACCGACCCAGACCTAACCTTAGTCTAGTCATAAATTAATTTAAAGTCTCGTTCCTTTATTACATTAACAACAATCGTCTCTCGTGAGGTAACGTCGTAGCCCGAGTTATCTTACGCGGCGGAAGCAACGTGTACCACGATTATTTCCCGGCCACCCCGTATACACAAGTTTTACGTTAGGTATCGATCCTACTTTTTGACTTCTCGTTGGATGCACATCGACTGCCACGTCACTCGCGTGCCCGCGCTCCGTTTATTAATTTCGTCGGTGTACGCGTCGACGATCGTGTTTTCGGGGCGAAACGTAAACGGGCGCAAAGGAACACGTGGTTCGCGGGTTCCCGAAAAAAAGGTCCCTGCCCCCTTCCTCCGCCCCCTCCCCCTCCCCCTCGCGGTGATTCTCTCCCCGTCGCGAATTGGCGCGGGTGCGCGGAGGCGGTGGGGGTGGCGTGCAATGAAAGGAACGTCACGGATGACACCTTGGATCGCATGCATGCGTGGCCACACGCCTGGAGCCACGTGGCTCGCAGTCATGGGTGTCGCGCCACGGCGGTCTATAGTTCTCGTTCCGTAGTTCAGTAACTTTAAGTTTAACAATAAGGGTAATAGAGCCGCGGCCGGAGATAGAAGCGGTAACGTTGGCGAGCGTTTACGACCGTGCATTACGGTATGCTAGTACGGTAACGTTCGCCGTCGGTTAAATTAACGAGCTGCTGTTGCAAAGCGTTTCGTCGTTCCTGCTCGCTCGATCCCCCCCTCTCTGCCCCTCGTTTCCTCGTCTACCTGCGTTTACACGCTGACCATCGGGCTCTCATGCTTTCGCGATCACGGGGACAGACCTCCTTCCCGGCAAAGAAACCGCGCACGTTCACCAGTGTCATTCCCTCTTACTTCGAGGAAACCGGCGAACAGGATTGCCGGAATGATTCATTCCGATCGTTTCTCTTCCAACGATAAACTAAAACAAACTTTCGAAAAACTATACGAGTATATCAGTTTTTGATAGAAAAAAAAATTATCACTGGTTCCTCGAACAGATAATCACGTTTTCGTTACGAGCAAATTTTCCCATTACGCGAACGATTTATTTCGATCATCAAAGCAAAATAGAAAATTGTGAAGAACGCTGTATCTCGGGTTCGCTGCAAAGGGTTAACGTTTACTTTTTTTTCGCTCGATGGCGCGCGAGGAACGCGGAAAAATCGGTCGATCGACAGTCGAGCATTTCGCGGCGACGAATTCGTGGTCGTCGGCCTGAGCATCGTATCGGAGAGCGTATCGTAATGCGGCGTGCGTGATACTTTAACGTCAATGTCGCCGTCCCTATAGATAGCCGGCGAACACGTCATTCTTTTTGAAGAAACTAAAGAAACTATAAACCACCATCGTCTCTTTAGTATCGACCCGTTCCCTCCGGGGGGTGAAACTTTTTGTTCCATATTTTTCTTTTTTTTCGAGACACAAAAATTCCCACCTGGATCGTCCGTCAGCGTTCGTTTCGCGGGGATCGCACGCGCTCGAACGTATCCACGCGAA